CAAGTCACGACACTTTGCTGGCTCCCAAATCCGACTGGGCAGGCTCCAAAGCAGTGGGGTCTGGCACTACTGTCACTTCCACCTCGTAGATCTCAGAGCTGCAGGGCTGCTCCTTTCACATCACCCTGAGCTGGTCCCGCTTGGGGCTGGCATTGGGGTACAGCGTGTTCCAGGCACTTCTGCTCCTTTCTGCAGGGGTCTGTGCCTTGCTGACTGTGAACTCATAACTAGGAGCCTCAGGATGGCTTCACAGAACTCCTGTGGGGGCTCTGCCTGGGCTTGACTTTGGTGCACATGTGACAGCTCAGTGTGTTCCCCATGGGGCAACTCTGATTTTCTTGGGCACCTGAGCCTCTGCCTGCCCATATGTCTGCAGAGCTCCACACCTACTGACTCTTCCTGGCAAGGCACGGCTGGCCTGGACAGCCCTGGACCATGGGCTGTACCCTCCTTGCAGCCTGCACCCACCCTCACCTGGCCATCCTGAGCTGACTTCTCTGCAGCAGGTCAGAATCTGCCTGGTTGATTTAGAATGGGCCTGGATGCACCAAACCTGACAGCTATGACTGCAGAAGGAGAGAGCACAGAGGAGCTCCTCATCCTCCATCACTACCCATGAACTGATGATCCCCCAATGTAGTCCCCCAACTGAAGACCACAAACTGAGGCACAAAACCAAGGCAGCCAATGAGGGCAGCCACTGAAGGCCTCCAGGTGAACGCCGGTTGACCTGCCAACCAGACTGTTTTCTGGTTAAGAGGAAGCAATCATGCCCAGGCACCTCCATACTTCCCTTCAGAGTCAGAACTTGAAGGCGTAGGTACAAGCCTTACTATGCCCTGCCCTGCCTGTGGTCCCACCCCACCTTTCACTCATTGCTGGCTGCTGGGAGCTTTCAGATTTCTCACTGTGCTGACGTTCCTAGGGATCATCACCTTACAATGAATGATGCTAAAATTACTGAAACAAAATCTGCCTCATGCACTAGCTGGGATTCATAGAACCTCCTTCCCTTATTACCTCTGAGCTTTCTAGAAACTGGAAAAATGACAGAGTTCTGCATGTGCTTTCCGAAAAACACACTGCCATGACTTAAGGTTACCCTACAATGTAAAATGTTTTATATATTCAATACATAAATATTCAAATTACCTTTTTTGAAAACAACACACATATTCAATGTAATTAACAAGATAAATAGAGAAATTTCTACACTAAGCTCATCAATTTTGTCACACTCACTTTCATATAGCAACTTAAAATTTATGGTTTCAACAAAGAAAGGGGCTTATAGAAGAGAAAACCACCCTGTTAATACAAGATTTTAAATGTGATCCTCGTTGCTACTAATAAATAACAATTAACCAGTATGTATTGTGAACTGCCTCGTGACTATGGTACTTATTTATTCTCTCTGACTCTTGGCTTGATTATCTACAAAATACAATACCAATTTTATAAGCTTTCTCTGAAAATTAGATAACAGAAAAAGAATCCTCCTTTATATATTGAACACTTACCAATGTATAGGCATTGTGTCAAGATTTTACACACTTACCTTATGAAAGCCACATAACAACCCATGTTTTAAATTACATACAGTATGCCAAGATTTTTACATACTTACCTTATAGAGGATACATAATACCCTCATCTTTAAATTACAGGCATTATGCCCAGATTTTTACACACTTACCTTATGAAAGCCAAGTAGCAACTTCATATTTTAAATATATTCATTATGGCCATATTTTTACACACTTACCTTATGGAGGCCACGTTACAACTTCATCTTTTAAATTACAGGCATTATACCCAGGTTTCTACACACTTACCTTATGGATGCCATGTAACAACTTCACATATTAAACTACAGTAATTATGCCCATGTTTTTACACACTTACCTTATGAAGTCACGTAACAACTTCACAGTTTACAGTCATTATGGCCAGATTTTTAAACACTTACCTTATGGAAGCCACATAACAAATCCACATTTTAAATTTTGGTCATTATGGCCAGATTCTTACACACTTACCTTATGGAAGCCACATAACAACCCCATGTTTTAAATTACATACAGTATGCCCAGATTTTTACACACTTACCTTATGGAGGATACATAATAACCTCATCTTTTAAATTACAGGCATTATACCCAGATTTTTACACACTTACCTTATGAAAGCCAAGTAACAACTTCATATTTTAAATTACATTCATTATGGCCATATTTTTACACACTTACCTTATGGAGGCCACGTGACAATTTCATCTTTTAAATTACATGCATTATGCCCAGGTTTTTGCACACTTACCTTATGGAAGCCACGTAACAAATCCACATTTTAAATTATAGTCATTATGGCCAGATTTTTACACACTTACCTTATGGAGGCCACATAACAACTTTGTTTTTTAAATACCAGGCATTATGGCCAGATTTTTACACACTTACCTTATGGAGGCCACGTAACAACTTTGTTTTTTAAATACCAGGCATTATGGCCAGATTTTACACACATACCTTATGGAAGTCACATAACACTCCCATCTTTTATTGATGAGCAGACTGAGGCTCAACCAAGTTAAAAACTCATTCCCCACCACATCATAATGAGTGATGGAAACCGGATGCAAATTCCATTCTGTCTGACAGCAAAGGTGATGCAACGTAACAGAGACTGAGTTGTACCCAGCATATGGAGGGAGTCACAACACGTGGGTTCCCTTTCTCCACCCTTTCATGTGTGAATTTCATTAGTTTTTATGGCTTCAGAACAATCCTAAACTCCCTCCCAGGTTGCCTTGCAGTGGTTCCCTTTTTCTTGGGGATGATTACTAAGCTGCATATTTAGACCACATATTTAGCTCCTTATAAACAGGTGCTTTGATTAAGAAAAGACATTTTCTAAGCCAAGAGATGTGTTGATCATGAAATAAAATTTTCTAGTCCCTAGGTTACTAATGGTGAATTGTCTAGCTTCTCTAAAAAATATATTGCTATTCCAGATTTAAAAAAATGACAGGATCCACAGAATTTGTGCAGAAAGATTTAGAACTATGCTGCAGGAGCACCTTACTGACAGCTGTGCAGGAAGACCAGGCTATACACACAAAAGCAATAGCACCTCCAAGGGCCAGGGGTGGTGGCTCCTGCCTTTCACCCTAGCAATGTGGGAGGCCAAAGTGGATGGATCACTTGAGGCCAGGAGTTGGAGACTAGCCTGGGCAACACAGTGAGACCCTGTCTCTACAAAATATCATTTTATATGACTGCACTCAAGAAGAGCGCCTCTAATATTGCTTTGTGATAAAGAAATCTGGTGCAGAATTCGAGATGTGAATTTGAGTCTTACCGTCGCACTTAAGTTTAACTAGAAAAGCTGTCAGACACTTTCTCTACAGCAATGAAATCTATAGCTTATATTTTATATTTTGAAAACCCAGTTTTCAGGAAGCCTGGGCAAAATGAAGAGGAAACAGAACTGGGCATTGACATAGGAAGAAAGAATTGGTGGGACTCGAGGCAGTCAGTCCTGCTTGGGGCCTGGGGCTGGGAAAGCTAACAGGTGAGAGAGCCCAGGCTGTGGATGTCTTTGGGGGGAACCTTGAGTCAGCAGTGGCCTCAGGAGCTCCTGCTGTATCCAATCTTTTGTAGGTGAGCATAACATAACACATAGATGAGCCAAGCAGTATTCGTTGCCTCCCTACCTTTGGTTGTCTTCTTGTCTGGAATGTGCTGCAAGTCAGGACCCTGGCCAGCTCCCAAACCCAACTGGGCAGGCCTCAAAGCAGTGGGGTCTGGTGCTACTGCCACCTCCACATCATGGATAATGGAGCATCAGAATGGTTCTGCTCGCCACACTCTGGCATTGTGGGACAACATGTTCTGGGTGCCCCTTTTTTTCTCTGCTGGTGTCTCCACCTTTTCTGACCTTCACTCATAGATGTCAGAGTCCCAGGATGGCTTCATAGAACCCCGCTTCAGCCCTGCCTGGTGCTGCCTTTGGTGTACATGAGATACTTAAGTATGGTCCCCTTGGGGCAACTCTGCTCTTCTCAGGCAGCTTAGGCCTTCACTTGCTTCCACGTCTTCAGAGATCAGAACATGCCGCCTCTTCACAGCAAAGTCACGCTGGCACGGGCAAGCCCCCAGATGTAGGGATGCATCCCACTTAAATCTCACAACTTACCTTACCCCCCTACCTTGAGCTGACCTGTCTGTAAAAGTTGCTAACCCGCCTGGTTTATTTAGAGTGGGCCTAGGTGCAACAAGTCTGAGAACAGTGATGGTAGGAAGAGAGCACAGATGGAGCTCCTTCACCTTCCACCACTGCCAAACCAACTGAAGACCAACAACTGAAGAGCACCAACTGAGGGCACTGAACAAAGGCAACCAATGAAGGCACCCACTGAAGGCCACCAGGTGAGGGCGCGTTGCCCTGCCAACCAGACTGCATCCTGGTTATGAGGACACAATCAGGCCCAGAATCCCTTCCATGTGTCCCTGCCAACTTGGAACTTGAGAGACCAGGCAGGTGGTTCACAGAGCTCCATCCTGCGAGCCACTGCATTCCACGTTTCATCATTCATTCCTAGCTGTTAAGACCTTTCAGGTTTCTCACTGTCTTGGAGTTCCTAGGGATTATCACCTTACAATGAATCATGCTAAAATTCCTGAAGCCAAATCTGGCTCTTGCACTAGCTGCAATTTATAGAACCTCCTTTCCCCTGTAACCTCTGAGTTTTTAATTAACTACAAAAATGACAGATTTCTGCAGGTGCTTTTAGAAAAAACATTGCCAGGAGCTAAGTCTACTGTGTGATGTCTAATTATGTTTCACATATATATACATATGCATTCAACCCATTCATATTCCATTTACATTTTTGAAATAAACCTATATATTCAATCAAATTAAAAAGAGCAATAGAAGACATTTTCTAAATTTATCCACTATGTATATCACAGTTTCCTAATGAGCACTTTATACAGCAACTTAGTATTGATGGCTCCAACAAATAAAGAGGCTTACGTAAGAGAAAAGCATTGTCTTAATACAAGATTTTAACTGTGATCAGCATTGCTACTTTCCACAGGCAGTTGCCCAGTAGATGGATTGTGAACTGCTCTGTGACGATAGTGACTCATTGAATCTTTCAGATCCTTGGTTTGATTATGTCAAAAATATGAGCAACACCAGTTTTATAAATTTGCTCTAAAAATGAAATGAGAGAAAAATAATCCTCCTTCTGTTTATAATGAAGACTTACAAAATTATAGGCACTGTGTCCAGATTTTTACACACTTACCTTATTGAATCCTTAAAACAACCCTTTAAATTACAGTCATTTGTGCCCACACCAATTTATATACATTTATATTATGGAAGCCTCTAAATAATCCCATCTTTTATAGATGAGTACAATGAGGTTCAGAGGAGTTAAAAGCACATTCACCATCACATGCTAATGAGTGATGAACTGGGATTCAAATCCAGTTCTCCCTGACGCCATAGGTACTGCAACTTAACAATGATCAAGTTATACTCAGGACATGGAGGCAGTCGGAACATGTGGATTCCCTTTCTCTACCCTCTTATGTGTGAATTTGAATGGCTTTCATGGCCCCATAACCAACCTAAACTCCCTCCCAGGTTGCCTTGCAGTGGTGCCCTTTCTCCTGGAAATGACAAGGAATCTGCATATTTAGACTACAAGCATCTCCTTAGAAACAGCTTTGTTGATGGAGAAATGAAATTTTTGGCCAGGGATGGTGGCTCTCGCCTGTACTTTGGGAAGCCAGGGTGGGCAGATGTCCTGAGGGCAGGAGTTCAAGATGAGACTGACAAACATGGTGGAACTCCACCTCTACTAAAAAGTACAAAATTAGCTGAGAGTCTGGCAAATGCCTCTAATCCCAGCTACTCAGAAGGCAAAGGGAGGAGAATTGCTTGAATCCAGGAGGCAGAGTGTAGTGTCACTACACTCCATCCTGGGAAGTAAGAGCAAAATTTTATCTCAAGAAAAATACAAAAATTTCTAGGACTTAGGTTACTAACTGTGAATTGTCTAGTTTATCTGCAATAAGCAAAGGTAACATTACATGTAAAATGTCACAGGATCCACTAAATTTTTCCAGAAAGATTTGGAATGATGCTGTTGGAGCATCTCACTGATAGCTGGGTAGGAGGAGCAGTGGAAACACGCAAAGCAAGAGCACCTGCAAAGTCCAGGTGTGCTGGTTTTTTCCTATCTGCTCAGCAATGTGGGAAGCCAAGGTGGGTGGATCACTGGACACCAGGAGTTTGAGACCAGCCTGAGGAACACAGTGAGACCCTGCCTCTACAAACAATTTTTTAAGGATTAGAATAAAGAAGAGTACCTTTGACCCTCTCTGATCTTGCTTTAAAATACAGAGCGCTAGTACAGAAATAAAGATATAAAATTGTGTGTCCATATAGGGTTATTCAAGTTTAAAGAGAAGAAATGTCAAACATTACCTCTACAGCAATGAAATCTGTAGCATTCATTTTGTGGTTTGGAAACTTAGTCTGGCCAGCCTGGGGAAGCAGAAGAGGTCCCAGAACTCAGAATTGGGGTAGGAAGGAGGAAGAAAACTGGATGAACCCAGCAGGGAACCAAGATCAGCTGGGAAGGCAAGGCAGACCCAGTCCTTTTGCTTGTGGCTTGAGCCTAAGAAAGCTAACTAGGGGAAGGAGAGAGGAGCCCCATGCTGTGGATGCCTCCAGGTGCAACCTTGGGTCAGCAATGGCCAGAGAAGCTCCTGAGGCCAAGCAGTGTCTGTCGCCTCCCTACCTTTGGGTGTCTTCTGGTTGCCGATATGCTGCAAGGCAGGACCCTCTCCGGCTCTGAATTCTAACTGTGCAGGCTCCAAAGCAGTGAGGTCTTGCATACTGCCACCTTCACGTGGTAGATCTCAGAGTGTCAGGACGTCTCTTCCCACTGCACCCTGAGCCTGCCCCGCTTGGGGCTGGCATTGGTACAGTGTGTTCCGGGTGCCTTTGCTCCTCTCTGCTGGATCTTGGCTCTTTGTTAGCCACCAACTCAGATGTCAGAGCCCAGACTGGCTCCGATGAACCCCTGCACCAGCGAAGTCTCGGACTGTCTTTGGTGCGTGTGGTCAGCGTGATCCACAAGGGGCAGCTCAGCACATCTCAGGCAGCTTGGGCCTTCACTGGCCCCCATGTCTGCAGACCTCAGCACCTGCCACCTCTTCCCAGCATAGGCATATCTTTCATAGGTGGCACCAGGCCATGGAGCTGCATATCACTAGCAGCCCCCACCCTGCTCACCCCGTCACCCAGAACTGACTTATCTGCAACAGCCACCACCCTGCCTGGTTTATTCAGAATGGGCCTGGATGCAACAAGCCTGAGTGCTGTGACTGCAGGAGGAGAGAACATCGATGGAGCTCCTTTCGCCGCTGCCCAACAACTCAAGGCAACCAACTGAAGACCACCAGCTGAGGGTGCCAAGGCAAGGCAACCAATGAGGGCACCCAGTGAAGGCCACCAGGTGAAGGCCAGTTGCCCTGCCATCCAGACTGCATCCTGGTGTAGAGGAAACAATCAGGCCGAGAGTCCCCTGCATGCCTCTCCCTAAACTTGGAACTTGAGAGCACAGGCACATGGCTCCAAGGCCCTGCCCTGCTATTAGCCCACTCCACATTTTACTCATTGCTGGCTGCTGGGTGCTTTCAGGTTTCTCACTGTGCTGAGGTTCCTAGGGATCATTGCCTTATAATGAATGATGCTACAATTACTGAAACCAAATGTGCCTCATGCAGTGTCTTGGATTCATAGAACCCCCTTTCCCCCATAACCTCTAAGCTTCATAGAAACTAGAGAAATGACAGATTTCTGCATGTGCTTTCAGAAAGAAACATTGCCATGACTTATGGCTACCCTCTAATGTAAAGTTTTAAGCATATACATACACACAAATGTATTCAATAGATATATATTCAATTTACATTTTTTTGAAAATAACACACACATTCAAGCAAATTAAGACTAATAGAGGAAATTTTCTAAAATGTATACACTAAGCTTTATCACAATTTTCTATTGCTCACTTTCATGGAACAACTTAAAATTCATGGTTTCTTATGTAAGAAAGAGGCTTATGTAAGAGAAGCCACCACATAATACAGTATTTTAAACGTGATCCTCCTTGCTGTAATAAATAACAATTACCCAGTATGTATTGTGAACTGCTTTGTGACTATGGTGACATTCAATCTCTCTGATTCTTAGTTTGGTTAACTGCAAAATATAACAACAATTTTATAAACTTGCTCTAAAAATTAGAGAGAAAAATAATTCTCCTTCTGCATATATGGAACACTTACCAATTTATAGACGTCGTGTCCAGATTTTCACACACTTACCTTACGGAGGCCACATAACAACCCGAAGTTCTAAGTTACAGTCATTATGCCCAGATTTTACACACTTACCTTATGGAAGGCCCAGAACCACCTCATGTTTTAAATTACAGGCATTGTGGCCAGAGTTTTATACACATAACTCATGGAAGTCTCATTTTTTACAGATGAGGAAACTGAGGCTCGCTGGCATTAGAAACACATTTCCTACCATGTCATAATGAGTGATGGAATTGGGATTCAAATCCGGTTCTTTCTGACAGCAAAGGTTGTGCAACATAAGGAAGATGAGTTGTGCCCAGCAGATGGAGGAGTGAAAACGTGGATCCCTTTCTCTACCCTTTGTTGTGTGAGTTTCATTGTTTTTTACGGCCTCAGAACAATCCTAAACTCCTTCCCAGGTTGCCTTGCAGTGGTCCCCTTCTTCTGGGGATGATTACTAAGCTGCATATTTAGACCACAGATTTAGCTCCTTATAAACAGGTGCTCTGATTAAGAAAAGACATTTTCTAGACCAAGAGATGTGTTGATCACGAAACTAAATTTTCTAGGCCCTAGGTTACTAACTGTGAATTGTCTAGCCTTTCTATAAAACATAGGGCTATTCCATGTAAAAAAGTCACAGGATCCACTGAATTTGCAGAGAGATTTAGAACCATGCTGCGGGAGCATCTTCCTGACAGCTGTGCAGGAAGACAAGACTATACACACAAAACAAGAGCACCTCCAAAGGCCAGGTGTGGTGGCTCCTGCCTGTCACCCTAGCAATGTGGGAGACCAAGGTGGGCAGGTCACTTGAGGCCAGGAGTTTGGGACTAGCCTGGGTAACACAGTGAGACCCTGTCTCCACAGAAAATCATTTTATAAGATTAGAATCAAGAATAGTGCCTCTAGCATCACTTTATGATAAAGGGGCATGGTGTGGAATTTAAGATATGAAATTGTAAGTCTCACCATTGCTACTTAAGTTTAACCAGAAAAGCTGTCAGACATTTTCTCTATCCAAAGAAATTTGTAGCTTACATTTTAAATTTTGACAACTTAGTATTGAGGAAGCCTGGGGCAAGATGAAGACGAAATTGAACTGGGTATTGGGTTAGGAAGAAAGAAGAATGGGTGGGGACTCGAGGCAGAGCCAGTCTTCCTGCTTGGGGCCTGGGGCTGGGAAAGTTAACAAGGGACAGGAGGGAGAGCTCCAGGCTGTGGATGTCTTTCAGGGGAAGCTTGAGTCAGCAGTGGCCTCAGGAGCTCCCGCTGTATACAATTTTTTATAGATCAGCATAACATAACATATAGATGAGCCAAGCAGTATTTGTTGCCTCCCTACCTTTGGTCGTCTTCTGGTTGCCAACGTGCTGCAAGTCAGGACCCTGGCCAGCTCCCAAACCCAACTGGGCAGGCCCCAAAGCAGTCAGGTCAGGAGACACCCCCACCTCTATCTCCTAGATCTTGGAGCATCAGGATGATTTAGCTCACCACACTGTGAGCTGGCCCTGCCTGGGTCTGGCATTGTGGGACAGCATGTTCTGGGTGCCTCTGCTCCTCTCTTCTGGTGTCTCTGCCTTTTCTGGCCACTCACTCATAGATGTCAGAGTCCCAGGATGGCTTCGCAGAACCCCTATTTTGGCCCTGCCTGGTGCTGCCTTTGGTGCATATGAGATACTACAGGGTGGTCCCCTTGGGGCAACTCTGTTCTCAGGCAGCTTGGGCCTTCACTCGCTTCTACGTCTGCAGATGTCAGAACATGCCGCCTCTTCCCAGCAAAGTCACACTGGCACAGGCAACCCTGGCCATAGGGCTGTATCCCACTGGCAGTTCACATCTTATCTCACCCACCTACCTTGAGTTGACTTGTCTGTAAAAGTCGTGAACCTGCCTGGTTTATTTATAGTGTGCCTTGGTGCAACAAGCCCGAGAACTGTGACTTTAGGAGGAGAGAGTACAGGAGGAGCTCCTTCTCCTTCCACCACTGCCAAACCAACTGAAGACCAACAATTAAAGGGCACCAACTGAGGGCACTAAGCAAAGGTAACCAATGAAGGCACCCTCTGAAGGCCACCAGGTGAGGGCCGGTTGCCCTGCCAACCAGTCCGTATCCTGGTGAAGAGGAAACAATCAGGCCCAGAGTCCCCACCACGTGTCCTTGCCAACTTGGAACTTGAGAGACCAGGCACGTGGCTTATAAGGTCCCATCCTGCCAGCCACCGCATCCCACCTTTCATTCATTCCCGGCTGCTAAGAGCTTTTGCGTTTTTCACTGTGTTGAAGTTCCTAGGGATTATTACCTTACAATAATTGATGCTAAAATTCCTGAAGCCAAATCTGGCTGTTGCACTAGCTGGAATTCATAGAACCTCCTTTCCTCCATAACCTCTGAGTTTTTTACAAACCACAAAAATGACAGATTTCTGCACGTGCTTTCAGAAAAAAAATTGCTATGAGCTAAGTCTACTGTGTGATGTCTAATTATATTTCACATATATACACACATATACATATACATTCAATCTGTACATCTTCCATTTATATTTTTGAAATTTACCTACATATTCAATCAAATTAACAAGAACAATAGAGCACATTTTCTAAATTTATACACTAAGTTTATCACAGTTTCCTGATGACCACTTTATACAGAAACTTAGAATCGATGGCTTCAACAAACAAGAGCCTTTTGTAAGAGAAAAGCATTCTCCTAATACAAGATTTGATATGTGATCAGCATTGCTATTTTCAATGACCCAATAAATGTATTGTGAACCGCACTGTAACTATTGTGACTAATAAATGTATTGTGAACCGCACCGTAACTATTGTGACTAATAAATGTATTGTGAACCGCACTGTAACTATTGTGACTAATAAATGTATTGTGAACCGCACTGTAACTATTGTGACTAATAAATGTATTGTGAACCGCACTGTAACTATTGTGACTAATAAATGTATTGTGAACCGCACTGTAACTATTGTGACTAATAAATGTATTGTGAACCGCACTGTAACTATTGTGACTAATAAATGTATTGTGAACCGCACTGTAACTATTGTGACTCATTTAATCTTTCAGATCCTTGGTTTGATTATCTCAAAAATATAAGTAACACCAGTTTTTATAAACCTCCTCTAAAAATTAAAGAAAAAATCCTCCTTCTCTGTAGAATGAAGACTTACAAAATTATAGGCATTGTGTCCAGATTTTTACACACTTACCTTATTGAAGCCTTAAAAAACCCTATCCTTTAAATTACAGGTATTTTGTCCACACCAAGTTTTATACCCTAATATTATGGAAGACTCATAATAATCCCATTTTTTATAAAGGAGCAAAATGAGGTTCAGGGGAGTCAAAAATACATTCATCATCACGTCCTAATGAGCGATGGAACTGGGATTCAAATCCAGTTCTCTCTGACGCCAAAGGCAGTGCAACATAACCAAGGCCAAGTTATACTGAGCACGTGGAGGCAGTCAAAACATGTGGATGCCCTTTCTCTACCCTCTTATGTGTGATGTGGAATGGCTTTCATGGCCTCATAACTAACCTAAACTCCCTCCCAGGTTGCCTTGCCGTGGTTCCCAACCTTTTAGAAATGACTAGAAATCTGCATATTTAGACTACAAGCATCTCCTTAGAAAGAGGTTTGTTGATTGAGAAATGAAACTTTTGGCCAGGGATGGTGGCTCTCGCCTGTACGTTGGGAAGCCAGGGCGGGCAGATGTCCTGAGGTCAGGAGTTTGAGAGAAGCCTGACCAACATGGTGCAACTCCATCTCTACTAAAAAGGACAAAATTAGCTGAGTGTGTGGTGAATGCCTCTAATTAAAGCTACTCAGAAGGCTAAGGCAGGAGAAACACTTGAACCCAGGAGGCAGAGGTTGCAATGACCTAAGATGCTCTCATTGCACTTTATTCTGGGCAACCAGAGCCAAATTTTATCTCAAAAAAATAGATATAAAATTTCTAGGACCCAGATTATTAAATGTGAATTGCCTAGTTTATCTGCAATAAGCAAAGGTATTATTTCACGTAAAATGTCACAGGATCCACTGAATTTGTCTAGAAAACTTTGGAATGATGTCTCAAGAGCATCACACTGACAGCTGGGTAGGAGGAGCAGTGGAAACATGCAAAGCAAGAGCACCTCCAAAGTCCAGGTGTGCTGGTTCTTGCCTATCTGCTCAGCAATGTGGGAAGCCAAGATGGTATCACTTGACACCAGGAGTTTGAGACCAGCCTGGAGATCACAGAGAGACCCTGCCTCTACAAAAAAATTTTTTTTTAGATGATTAGAATCAAGAGGACATGCCTCTGACCCTCTGATATTGCTTTAAAATACAGAGCTCTAATCCAGATATCAAGAAATGAAATTGTGAGTCCCAAGAAGGCTATTTAAGTTTAAATAGAAGAAATGTTAGATACTTTTTCTATAGCAACGAAATCTGTGGCATTCATTTTGTAGTTGGAAACTTAGTTTCTGGCCAGCCTGGGGGAAGCAGATGAGGTCCCAGAACTCAGAATCGGGTAGGAAGGATGAAGGATACTGGATGGACCCAGCAGGGAACCGAGATAAGCTGGGAAGGCAAGGCAGACCCAGTCCTTTTGCTTGTGGCCTTAGCCTAAGAAAGCTAACTAGGGGAAGGAGGGGGGAGCCCCATGCTATGGATGCCTCCAGGTGCAACCTTGGTTGAGCAATGGCCAGATAAGCTCCTGAGGCCAAGCAGTGTCTGTCGCCTCCCTACCTTTGGGTGTCTTCTGGTCGCCAATGTGCTGCAAGTCAGGACGGTCTCTTGCTCCCAAATCCAACTGTGCAGGCTCCAAAGCAGGAGGTCTGGTATACTGCCACTTCGGTGTGGCAGATCTCAGAGTCTCACGATGTCTCTTCCCACTGCACCCTGAGCTTGCCCCGCTTGGGGCTGGCATTGGGGTACAGGTTGTTCCGGGTGCCTCTGCTCCTCTCTGCTGGGGCTCGCCTCTTTGTTAGCCACCAATTAACATGTCAGAGCCCAGATTGCCTTTGATGAATCCCTATGCTGGCCATGCCTCGGGCTGTCTTTGATGCATGTGGTCAGCGTGATCCACAAGGGGCAGCTCAGCACATCTCAGGCAGCTTGGGCCTTCACTGACCCCCACGTCTGCACT